TATGCAAATATACCACTCCCGTCCTGCACCGACAGACTTCTAATCTGCCCTTATAAATCCTGCAGGCACTGACCTAGAAGGCCATCAGAACTGTAGGCTAGAAAAAAAAAACGGCTTTCTGTCTCCTTGTAAACACTAACACTGGGCACTTCGGAGTTTCCCATCAGGGAGAATGCATGTACGACTAGCAATGTGCATTCCACCCAACGGGCAGAAATGACTTGAGTAAGCAGTAGGACAGTCAGGCTGAAGGAAACTGAGGCAGGAGGCCACTTTGCATTTCCAGCCTCAAAAGTAAACACAATATTAAGTACATACACACAGGGTTTTTCAGTCGAGGCCAGCAGCTGGCAAGTTTTGTTTCGCTAATAGGATTTTTTTTTAAAGCCTGTATGCTGCTTTGTGTAGTAAATTGCTTATATAGTTCTGGACTGAGCGAGGTGTCGTTTTTAAAGTCTATTTTAGGGCTGTCGATTAATTGTAGTTAACTTACGCGATTAACTCCAAAAAAATTGCACTGTTAAACAATATTTTGGATGTTTTTCTATATTTTCAAATATATTGATTTCTATTACAACACAGAATACAAAGTGTACAGTGCTCACTTTTGTTGTAGGAGCAGCAGTGAGCTGCATGCTCTGTATAACCTGTATGTTCAAAAGGTCTGTTAAACCTTCCCCCCCCCCCCTTCTCCTCTCCCTCTTTAAATACCTGTGAAATGGCTTTTCCCCTCCCCCTCCCCCCTGGAATGCTTGTGGGATGAATGGGCTGCTTGAGCAGCTGGAAGATCAGAAGAGCTCCCAGGTAGACAAGGTGTCTGGCACTCTGATTAGGCAGCGATCACACACCCAATGCATGGACACTGTCCAAGATGGAGTGTGACCAACCAGACACAGCCAAGTCAGCTCTAGTCACAGGCCATGAGGAACAGGTCCTTAAAAGGGGAAGGGGCCATGTGCTCAGGAGTGCACTCACAAGCTTGTACCTCCCGTGAAGCCCTTTGCCCGGACCACCTGGCCATGGCTCGCCGTGTTGCATTCCATCGTGCCTTGGGAAGACTGACCTTCATCGCACTGCCCATCGCTGCACTGTGGGACACTTACCTTGAAGGATCCTGACATCTCCAATGCTGTGCCTGTCCTGGGAGCGTGAGTATGCGAGTGAGAGTGTGCCCCCCCACCCTTTGAGCTTAGCTATCAGTATAATAAACGTGCTGCTTTCTGCCAGACTCTGGTGGGTCATTGGTCCTCCCCAAGCTTACTAGCTGGCCCAATTTTGGGTAACAACTTTATATTATTATTTTTGATTACAAACATTTGCACTGTAAAAATGAACAAAAATAATATTTTTCAAGTCACCTCATACAAGTACTGTAGTGTAATCTCTTTATCATGAAAGTGTAACTCATAAATGTAGATTTTTTTTTTGTTACAGAACTGCACTCAAACAAAACAATGTATAACTTTAGAGCCTACAAGTGCACTCAGTCCTCCTCCTTGTTCAGCCAATCGCTAAGACAAACAAGTTTGTTTACATTTACGGGAGATAATGCTGCCTGCTTCTTATTTACAACGTCACCTGAAAGTGAGAACAGGCATTCGCATGGCACTTTTGTAGCTGGCGTTACAAGGTATTTACATGCCAGATATGCTAAACATTCATATGCCCCTTCATGCTTCGGCCACCAATCCAGAGGATATGCTTTCATGCTGATGATGCACGTTTAAAAAAAAATAATTAAATTTAATTAAAAAAAAAATTAATTAAATTTGTGACTGAACTCCTTGGGGGAGAATTGAACGCTCCTGCACTGTTTTACCTGCATTCTGCATATATTTCATGCTTTAGCAGTCTCGGTTGATGATCCAGCACATGTTCGTTTTAAGAACACTGTTACCAGATTTGCCCTTTGCTTTGGGGTATGCTCATTTATTAGGGTTACTCTTCTGGGGGGGATTCTGTACTTCTATCAATGTACTGCTTGTGTCATGTGTGTTCTCATATGGAGCTCTACTTCTCCCTGCTGCAAGTTCCCTCCCAATGGAGCTATCCTGCAGGACCTCGGGTCCCCAGGGCTGGGTTCTTCCAGCCCCAGAATCAGACAAACATACACACACATTAACAGAGCGCGTCTGAGAGGACTGGGTTAATCAGCACTCCCAAGCTGACCCCTTATATGTCCCTGGACTCAGTATGCTGAGTCGAGCAGCACCTCCAAGCTGTCACCCTCATATGTCCCAGGTTCAGCATGTCCCTGTCCCCACTTTCACGTGATCAAAATCAACCTTCTGCTGGTGGCATCTGACTCAGATGATGAAAAATGAACATGTGTCGGTCCGCTCTGCTTTGGATCGTTATCGAACAGAACCAGTCATCAGCATGGATGGATGTCCCCTGGAATGGTGGTTGAAGCATGAAGGGACATAGGAATCTTTAGCGCATCTGGCATGTAAATATCTTGCGACACCCGCTACAACAGTGCCATGCGAACGCCTGTTCTCACTTTCAGGTGACATTGTAAACAAGAAGCAGGCAGCATTATCCCCTGCAAATTGAAACCAAACTTGTTTGTCTGAGCGATTGGCTGAAGTAGGACTGAGTGGACTTGTAGGCTCTAAAGTTTTACATTGTTTTATTTTTGAATGCAGTTTTTTTGTACGTAATTTTACATTTGTAAGTTCAACTTTCATGATAAAGAGATTGCACTACAGTACTTGTATTAGGTGAACTGAAAAATACTATTTCTTTTGTTTTTTACAGTGCAAATATTTGTAAACAAAAATAAATATAAAGTGAGCACTGTACACTTTGTATTCTGTGTTGTAATTGAAATCACATTTGAAAATGAAGAAAACATCGAAAATATTTAAAGAAATGTTATTCTATTATTGTTTAATTGTGCGATTAATTATTTTAATCGCTTGACAGCCCTAGTCTATTTATTATTTGCAGGCTCAAGTGAGGTATAATTTGAATTCTCTAGGTCAACAGCCATCAAAAAGAGCTGGATCGGTGAGTTGATCTTGCATTAATAAATGTTCCAAGAATTTTAAGGATTTCTAAGCAATGAGAATGTATTTTAATATTTAAAAAGACATAAAACCTCTTATTTATAACGGCAGTAACGGAGTGCCTTGCATTACAGCATCCTGTGATGTGGGGAAGTATTGATCCATTTTACAGATGGGGAATGGAGTCAGAGAGATTAAGACCCTGATTCAGGAAGGTACTTAAGCATTTGCCTGTGAGTGGTTGCTGCCAGACAAGGAGTGAGTGGCTGAGCCAGTAACTGAACCCAAAGTTTCTTAAGTCGCAGGTCAGTGCTTTAACGCCAAGGACATCAGCTTTCCTCCCTGTTTTGTTTCCAATTGTTTAGACAACAATAGGGTGGTCCTTCAAAATCATAGCAAGCAAAGTAGCATTCGTTAATGATTTCTAAGTAGAACTAGTAACAAAATGGATTTTCCGTCCCACTAAAAAATTCAAGATTTTGAAAATTTTTATCCTAAAATCAAGAAAGAAAGCCAAAATTTCACAATTTATCACAAAATCAAATGCTGAAAAAAAATTCATTTTGGGTCAGTTGAAATGTTTTGTTTCTATTTCAACCCTTTTAAATATCAAATACATTTCTAAGCAAAAAATAGTTTCAAAACAAAATATCAAAACTTTTCATTCCAAAAATGTTGAAATGGGACATTGACATTTAAAAACTTCCCCCCCCAATTGTTTTCAAAACCAAGTTTTGTCAAAACGGATACAATTCTGTAGTTTTCTCAAAACGGCAATTTCCAATAGAAAAATGTTTCATTGAAAGTTTTCCAACCAGTTCTATTTAAAAACTAACCTCCTCCCTGCTTTTAATGGTGAGCAGCCTGGCGCCTGCTCCTACAAACCTTTCTGCACATGGCTAACTTTACTCACCTGAGAAGTCACTGGGGCTAATCACATTCGCAAAATCAAGCAGATGCATAAGTGTGTGCAGGACTGAGGAGTTGGTTTGCAGCCCTACTGCGTGTCAATGGCATTTTTCACCAGGCTTCATACCCTTGTGTGAGACCAGTGTGAATTCAAAGATTGAAACGTCACTCAAGCAAAATCCTGACTCTTTCTGGAGAATTAGTTTATTTTTCAAGGTTAACCACTTTGGAAGTGCTGAGAAGTGGCGGGGTGAGGAACAGAATGTTTATTTTAATTACTGCAGTTTCATTCTGGGTCAGGCTAACCTGTTGGGATCTCTTTTGTGAGTCTGTGTATTTTAAGTAATTTAATTTTACAAAAGATTAGGAGGCCTTTAAAGTGCCTTCAATAGTGCTGCAAAAGCTTAATTTTCATGTTCAATTTTTATTTTCTTCAAACATAAAAAAAGCTTTGAAGGTCCAATTTTAACTTACATTGATTACATTTTGTTTGTACTCCCCTCCCCCCCCTGAACATTTTCATTAGGAAAATAAATGAAGGTAAGAAGTATTTTCCTGAGTTAATTACTTCCATTTTTCTTAATTAAAAAAGTGGAAAGTTTTTTGGGAGCATAAGAAACATATTCGTTTATATACTCCTTGCTATTTTTTACAAAGTTACCAGTAAACACTTTTTCTACAGGATGTGGCATTTTCAATGCGGCGTTGTAATTATTTCTGTACACTTGAATTTTTAAGCACGTTTCTAAATTACATGGCCATTGGTTAGTGAAATAGAGCAAGATTCTCTCCCTCTCTCAAGAAAGGGTTTTGGGATGATTATTGTAAAATGCAAACAGGATGGTTTAAAAATACACTTAAGCAGAAGTGTGCAGTTCAGATTTTTTTTCACATTCCTCACATATTATATTCAGTTCCTTATTAAAATAATCCACTTGTTAAAATGGCAGACTCCACACAAACACCAGCTCAACACACAAAAGACTTAAGAGCACCCTAAGGACAAAACATCCAGGCCATGCCCTCCAAAAGTATATGATTAAAAAAAATAAGCTCACTACAGAGAGTTCTGAATGTCACCTGATCAAATGGAGCACTGTGTATCTGAAAGGGGTTATCTGTCCAGACTGGATTGTAAGATCCTTGGAGCATGGGTCTGTCTTTTCCGGTTTCATTTTTACAGCATGCGGTCTGAGGGCTCAGTAAATAAATCTGAAAGAAAAAAACGATGTTAAGATCGATTTAAGGTTCAGAGTAGCTTAAAGGTAAAATGCCTTACCAAGTGTTGTAATTATCCCCAAACCAAGAGCTAGTCCAAGTTTACACTAGAAAAACTTTGCCAGTGCAGCTATATTGGTATAACTAGAGCGGCAAACCCTCCTAGTGCAGATGCAGCTTATACAAACAAACAAAACATGCTTTAGCTGGTATGGCTCATACCAGTTCCCCAAATGAAAGCAGCTTTCCTGGCAAAAGACCTTTTCCTGGAACGACCTTGATAGATGCTCTGGCTGACTAGAAAAATCACAGCTGCTCTCCAGAAAGTCCCACACTCCCCAAGGACTAGGTCGAGATATATCCCTTGCAAATTAAGTGCTGCAACCAAGACAGCTAGAATTCCTTGATGTGTGTGACATGTTGTGGAGAGCGGAGGGCTTTGCTCTGTGGAAAGCCTTAAGAACTGTTGGAGAGAGAAGTGAAGGACAAAGCTACAGATTCGGACTGGAAACATGGGTTAATGGAACTGTATCCAGTGCTCTAGACTTAAAGAAATTGAACAGCTCACTTTTCTCAAGGAGGAAGAGGGACCACCAGCTACTGCCCAGAGCCACCATGTGCAGGGCAGAGAGAAGAATGAGGAGTCAAATCCTCTCCAGCTGCCCACTGTTTGACATTTCTGCTCTTATATGCAGTGTTGTTGTAGCTGTGTCAATCCCAGGATCTTAGACAAGGTGGGTGAGGTAATATCTTTTATTGGACCAGCTTCTGCTGGTGAGAGAGACAAGCTTTCAAGCTTACACTGAGCTTTTCTCCAGGTCTGGGAAAGGTACTCATAGTGTCACAGCTAAATACAAGGTGAAAAAGATTGTTTAGCATAAGTAGAATCATAGAATATCAAGGTTGGAAGGGACCTCAGGAGGTCATCTAGTCCAACCCCCTGCTCAAAGCAGGACCAATCCCCAGACAGATTTTTGCCCTAGATCCCTAAGTGGCCCCCTCAAGGATTGAGCTCACAACCTTGGGTTTAGCAGGCTAATGCTCAAACCACTGAGCTATCCCTTCCGCATGTTTCAAAGGACCATTCAAAGTGACTGCTCCAGTCATAGGGAGGAAAGAAGGGGGGAGAAAAAGGAGCCGGGGGTGGGGGTTGCTAGTGGGTTACAGATTGTTGTAATAACCCATAAATCCAGTGTCTCTATTCAGTCCATGATTTTCAGTGTCTAGCAAAGTTATGAATTTAAGCTCCCAGGCTCACCGTTTTAAAGTGTTGTGCAGATTTCCATTGGGGATGAGGACTGATAGGTCAGTTATAGAGTGATCACTTTTTGAAAAGTGTTCACCCACAGGTGATAGGGAGTCTTCTTATTTTCCTGTGAGAGTTCGAGAGTGGGGTGATTGGTTTGACCCACATAGGTGCTATTGGGGCATTTAGTGCACTGACTGAGGTACACCATATGTTATAGGCATGTGTAGGACCTGTGGATCTTGAAAGGTGTGTCGAGGGTTTTTTTGATCATTGTAGCAATGGAGAGATGCCTGCATGTGTTGTTCTGGCATGGTCTGCGGCAGCTTTGAGTTGGTGTGTCCTTGTTTGCGGGGAGCCGCTTCAGATGACTTTGGAGAGGTTGGGGGATTGTTGGAAGGCCAAAAGAGGGAATTCAGGAAAGATTTCTTTCAGGGTGGGGTCCCCATCATACATGGGTTGTAGTTTGATGACAACCCATATGGGTTCCGCTGTGGGGGGTGGTAGGTGACAACTGGGGATGTGCAGTCGGAGGGAGTTTTATTTCTGTATTGAAGCAGGCGCTCTCAGGGTATTGGGGTAGCTCATTTCATGATGCAATCTGCTTCTCTGGTGGAGTGTCCTGTTTGGTGAAGGCAGTTTTGAGCGTGTTAATGTGTATATCTTAGATTTTCTTTTTGGAGAATATTTTGAGGTATGTAAACACACATTTCTTCCTTCAGAATACTTCTGCTTGTGTGGTTTTGAACATGTGCTAAAACCATAATCCAGGGGATTTCAATCATAGCCTTACATATAATGTTGCTACATACATTTCACCATGATATTATTGACCAGAGTGTTATTAGTTATCAATGATACATCAACAAAGCATATTTTGTGCAAAGATTATAATAGTGTGTAAGGTGTGAAGACAGGGGTGCTTTCAGTCACACCTACACCGATTGAATTTGTGAAAAATGTAATGTGAATTTTCATGGAAACTTTTCCACTGGCTGTACACAGAATCATAGAATATCAGGGTTGGAAAGGACCTCAAGGGGTCATCTAGTCCAACCCCCTGCTCAAAGCAGGACCAATCCCCAGACAGATTTTTGCCCCAGATCCCTAAATGGCCCCCTCAAGGATTGAACTCACAACCCTGGGTGTAGCAGGCCAATGCTCAAACCATATTGCTGCTCATAATTCCACAAGGTCTAATACCTAGGGAGTTTGGCTTCTCAACAGAATATAAAATATCCAAAACAATTATGCATGCCACAAATTATTATCCCTTCAGTGTAGTCTTACCTGACCCACTTCCAACTTGAGAAAGCAACAGGACTACTCATGCATGTAAAGTTACTCAAACATGGAAGAGTTTGGGCCTTTAGCTTGGATTATAATTCAACACCAAACAGAATTATCCCACTGCAAATATTTATAACTTGGATAAGTTTCAACAAGATCAAGTGACAAAGCCAGGCTAGTGTTTAGCCATCCAAAGCATGAAGGTGAAAGTCCTGTTGACACACCCACAAAACACACAACTGCAAAGTGATAATCTTTCACACAGAAATGCCAGACTATTTTCAGAGCCCTGTTTGCACATGTACAGTGAGCTGTAGTGCCAGAGTAACATCTAGACAGCATCATCACCGCTTCTTCAAAAACTGACAGCCTCAAAAGGGATTTCTCTTGCAAGCAAGTTTATTTCAGGATTTTCGAGATAATGAACATGCTCAATATCCCAGACCTAGGAAGTATTAAGGTGGGACAGAGTATTGGTATTCCCTTAGCACCAAGAGGCTGAGATCAGGGTCCCATTATCCTCCAGGCTGTACAAACAGGGAGTGGCAGGGAAGAGTTAGAGGGCAAGAGCCATGCTGGGAATTTACACGGGATTTGTAGGAGTCTCTCTGATTATCTCACCATAGCATCGGTCACCGAGCCCTCCTTTGCCCTCAGACAGGCCCAGGCTCAGAGCCCGTGTAAGCAGCAGGGCAAAGCAATTGGTTTGCTGTGACCATGGCCCCACAAGCCTGCAGGTAGCGCCTAGCCCTTGCTGGGTCCCCACAGGCATGGCGCTCATACACGGGGACCTTCTCTCCTAGCCTGTGGGGGATCCTGGGAATTCAATCATGCAACAACACACCCAGACACGAGTCAGGCCCACACACTGACACAAAGAGCAGGGAGTAGTAAGGCCCTGTGGGTACCTCAAGCCGCCTGGCATCTGTGCGTCTCTGGGGCAAGCACTCAGAGGCAGAGTCCTTCCCAGCTAGAGCTCTTGGCCCCTCAGGCCTGTCCCTGCACAGAGCTCCCCCTCTCCCGTCAGAGGCTCCAAACTCAGGCCAGACTCAGAGCTCCTCTCTCTCCCCACCCCCAAGATGGCTCCTGTTGCTAGTTCCACACCCCACATCAGCTAAAGGGGAAGGGCCCTCAGCTGTGCATCAGTCTCTGACCAGCCCAATGCTGCCACAGGAGGGACAGTCGTGGCCCTTCCGGGGCCCATCCCTCAGGAGTCCGTTCTCCCCTCCTAAGGGTTAGTTTTTAGTCCCGGCTCTGTGGTGAGCCCTGTTTGAATTCGACTGTCGGGGAGGGAAGCACCTTGGAGACATTGACACTTATTACAGCGTGCTGGTAATGTGCTTGGGAACAAACATGCAAGCCCCCATCCTCCTCCCTCCACTCGAGCAGCTGAGCGGCGGCATTCCACACGCCCTCTGCTCAGGTTAGCCGAGAGGCAGAGGGCTGCATCGCCAGGCCAGAAACCACTCTGTAAACACTGGCCCTGCGTCCTGACCAAACACCAACACTCCCCATCGCCCCTGCCCTGAGAATAAACAGGACCAAGATGCGACTTGTTTACTCAGCATAACGTGCCAGGTTGGGAGCAGGGCAGCTGCCCCACCTTATCCATAGCCGCTTAGCGCCTCCGCAGCCTGAGACCTGCCCCCTGCCGACATCGCCAGCTCACTACCCCAGCGGTGGTTGTTGGCACTCTTTCCACCAGCCCAGTGCTATCTGCCCTGCTCAATCATTAACCCGGCCAGCTGTCCTCTCCTCACCCTATCGACCCAGGTGCAAACCATTTGCTGCTGTATTGATTTGGTTGCTGTGGTTGCTATCCAGCGTACGTGGCCTTTCTGGTTTGCCACGGAGTTCACTTTCCCAGTCAACTTCCCTCTGAGGGATCTTCCAGCCATCTGCCGCTACCCCTCCCCCCCGCCATGGCACCCACACTTCCATTCTTACCCTCCCCACCTTGTCCCTCTGGCCTTACACCCAGGCCCACCTTGCCCTGCTTTATCGCTAAGATCACTGCCATCAGTGACCTCCCCAGCTCTCAGAAACCAGGCTTCCTTCTCCCTGAGGGCATTCCCCCCTCTCTCACACCTTGCCCCACGCTGTCTCCAAAGAACCATGGGATGGGGGGAGGGGAAGAGTCTGAGCTGCTTCTCCCCTGCTATTTCCAGCCCCTCCCCCTTCCCACTCCTCCCCCTCTAAGCAGCACTCCATCCAACTCTTCCCCTCCAACCCCAGCAATCACCCACAGCCTTCTGCACACCCAGTTCCCGCTCTGAGTGACACCTGGCTAGAGCTGTGGCATGGCGTCCCTTTGCCAGCACTCAGTATTGGGTCTATAAA